ACACCACCAGCAGCTTATTATTGGCTAAATGTTACAGCTGTGCTGTAAATTCAGAAGCTAAAAGGGGGCCTTCCAGCTGGGATTTATAAAGTGCTTTGTTTAAGGCTCAAGCCAGAGCAATACAAAGACTTGCAGACACAGAACGTGTAGATTGCTAAACCAATCCACATCTGCAATTTGCTGATTTTCTTTAGTCCTTTCTTTTAATTAATGCAATTTCTTTTCCAAGTTCTTTCCCTCTCTCCTACCCAGCAGCATGGGGTAAGATCCTCATCCAAAGCTATTTTCATCTAGGTGTTACTGGAACCACTCTTTTCTTTTGTGGCAACTACTTGAAACTACCTGAAACTACTTGAAGTTTTGGTGGCTTAAAGATACCAAAGGAGGTCTGTACTCCAGCCATTTAAGTCCTTACCACTGCATGACAGAATGAGCAGCTGTCACTTGCCTCAGCTCCTGCCAACCTAGCAGTTTGAAAGCATGTAAATGCAAATAGATAAATAGGTACCGTTTCCCCGAAAATAAGACATCCCCTAATAATAAGTCCAATCAGGCTTTGGAGCGCATGCGCTAAAATAAGCCCCTCTTCAAAAATAAGCCCTCCCCGAAAATATTTAACTGCATGCACAGGCGGTCCCCACCATTTCCTCTGGTTAGGGAGGCAGAGCTGGAAATCAGGTAAGATTGCAAGAGGAGCCCCGTCTTGCTCCACGTGCCCCAAAATAATAAGACCTCCCTGAAAATAAGGCCAAGCACTTATTTCGGGGTTCAAAAAAATATAAGACAGAGTCTTATTTTTGGGGAAACACGGTACCACTTGGGTGAGAAGTTAACATTGTTCTGAGTTTCACCGTACGCTTTGTACTGCGGTGTGATGTCATATTGGCCAAATGACCTCCAGAAACATCTTTGGAGCGAGCTGGCTCGATGGCTTAATGAAATGGAGATAAGCACCACCTCCTAAAGTCAGCTATGACTAGTAGAGTAAGCCTACAGGGACTCTTTTACCTTTGCTACTGGAACAACATCCCTCCACCTGTTTGTTTTGTGGCAGCTATCTGAAACCTTTGAGTAGATCAAAATTAGAGAACAAGGGCCATTCTATTACTCTAGTGATCTTCAATACTGAATTCAATTCTTATGTATACTTCAACCTTTTCTTGTCCATATGTCCTATGAGAGCACCTTTTGAAAGATGACTTGGAAAGCCCAAAGGGCTTTATGCAGTTAAGGGATGTCTCTGAGGAGGAACAGTGCTTTTCATCCTTTTTCATCCTGCTAACTATGTGGGAAAGGAGAAAGAAGTACTGTAGCTTTAGTGCAGTTATAGTACTAGATTTATGATGAATCTAGGTCACCATGAGAGGGCAGCAAAGAAACTTTTCTGTATCTCTTTGCTGCTCTCTAGTGGTCATGCGAATGTCTGCAGCTAATATCAGGTAGGTAATAACTATAGATAGTCCTCGACTTACATCAGTTCATTTAGTGACCATTCAAAGTTACAATGGCGCTGAAAAAAGTGACTTATGACCATTTTTCAGAGTTACAACCTTTGCATGTGATTAAAATTCAAATACTTGGCAACTGGTTCATATTTATGACCGTTGCAGTGTCCCAGGATCAGGTGATTCCATTTTGCGACCTTCTGACAAGCAAAGTCAATGGGGAAACCAGATTCACTTAATAACTTTGTTGCTAAGTTAACAACTTCAGTGATTCACTTAACAATTATGGCAAGAAAGGTCGCAAAATGGGGCAAAACAAATATCTCACTTAACAACAGAAATTTTGGGCTCCATTGTGGTCATAAGTAGAGGACTAACTGTATAGGGCTTCTGACAATTTCTGCTAATTATAAAGGATTGGGGAGGAGGGGAGGAGATGCTGCTTCTGAGTGGAGTTTTCCTTGAGCAATTCCAAGCCAGTGTTTAGATTTCCTGAAGGAAGTGAAGACGTCTTACTGCACATCATCGTAACAAATCCATTCATCGCTGCCATCAATTTCAACCTATGTAAATACTCCAAAGAATCTATAATATTTGCAAATCTAACATGCATCTTCCAAAAGGCCTTTCAGGATGGCATTTAGAAAATTTCCCTTTTATAAAAATGTTTAACTTGAGCCATCTTAAGCAAAAAATGCAGACAACTAGTACATGGCAGCAAAGAGTTAGCATCTCATATATCTCTTTGCTCTAGTTTAGTAATTTAGATTTTTATAGCCAAGATATGGCAACCCTAGCTTTAGAGTTGTATTCAATCTGTAATCTTATGTGGAATATAAACCATACCATTATTATTTGACTACAGCCTTTATACAGATACATCCTTTCTAGGTACCACATTGTTCCTTTGTTTTATAAACAACTCTTTCTAGGAGGAAAGAGCCAAGCATTATTGTCAACCTGCTTCCTCAATCATGCATCTCTGAAATACCCAGAGTAATTTAAAAGCAGCAGCAAGACAGTGTGATTATTTGGCACAGCTCTTGCGCCAAAGCTCAAATGCCAGCACAGAAAGAAGGCAACAGATGCCATCTTTTGAAGAAATTCTTAGTTGTTTCTATAATGTTTGAAGAGAGGAGTAAAATGTATAACAGCTGTTATTAATTTGTGACTCCTGCTATCTCCTCCCAAATCAACGCAAGCACACTATTTTAAAGTTATAAAAATGCATTCAGTAATAAAGCAGTAACCCACAAAATATTGCATAATATAATAATTTTACAAAATACAATTAGGAATTTTAATTTAAAATGTCTTACTAAATTAAATGCTTGGCCCCTTAAAAAGTCTGGCTCTCAGTTTCCTTACAACAACCTCACTGCTAACTATTAGCTTCCAGATTTTAATTATTCTTTCAAACAATGGGTGGAAAATCAGGCATTTTCATTCCAGCTGTTTGCCTTTTACTTAGTGGTCTCCAGCATTAATAAGAGCAACACTTTTATTTTTTTTTATATGTTTCATCATTATATTCTGCTTACACATTCTCCAATGTGCCTGGTTTATGTAATTAATTCCACTTTTTATTAAGGCACTGTTACAATGATTTTACCAAGATGGGACATTCTGGACCAATACTTGGCACTTGATGTTTTGTGGTTTGATTGTTGTTGTTGCAAAGAGAGGGAGGGTGGATTTTGTATTTGGATTTTACTTCTGCAAGCCACCCGAAGTCACCATGAGTAAGTTGGGTGGCCATGTATATTTTTTCTTAACAATTAAAAATATTTAATTGTTTATTAAGGCAAAAAAATATCCTTAATTGCCTTAATAAAAGTTAGATACCCAGTGCTGTTCCACACTATCATCGGTGATGCCCCTGCATATCAGCATCCTGTTTGGCAACTGGCATGCTAGAAAATGCCATAGGATGTGCTCATCTTTTTTCCATAGCGTGCTATGGAAAACAGCAACATAACTGTCACTCGGCTCAATCTTGTTTTGTCACAAACAGTATAGGATTTTGTAATTGAGCTATTTGCTTGAAAGTAGAAGGAAATTAGTTTGACTGCCTTGTTTTCCTCTTTCTTTTAACATCCCTATTAAACTATCATTGATCTAGAAGAGGAGAAAATTCCTGGCCATTTTTCCATCACCTGTGTACACAGCCACTATGCCATTTCTTCTCTAATCTTCAGAATTGGGGTGCAGCCTTTCCTGACATAAAGAAATTGCAGCTTCAGGCATGAGCTTACCAAGGAAGAACAAAGCAAGACTCAGAAGCGCAAGACAGCATTAGAAAGAGCCCCCTTTGATATTCTATATAAATCATTCCAGGTTAAGCCGCCATCCAGGGGATGCAGAGATTCAGCTAATGAGTGTGAAAGCACTTTGAAGATGAAAAGCAATCTAAGCACCAAGTATTTCGAATTGGTATTTACGTATGCTGGGTTTTCATATTTTTAAGCTGTGCCTTGGCAGCTAAGGACCCTCCTTGTCAGATCTGCTGGTGGAAATAAAACTGGTGAGGTTAAGAAGCACTAAGAAAATTTGGATTTGGTGGTATGACAATGTGTGTGTACACGCATTTCATCAAGAAGGTAATCTTCACCTAAGTGGTTTTCAAACAGGGAGAAACCAAGGTATCCACACAGTGTCTATGTTTGAACCACACAGAAAACTACATATCAACTACACTGGAGTCTAGCACATTATGCAAATCCACAATCACTGCTCAGCTTGTGGTCCAGGGTGTTGTGGGAAGGCAAAAAAAAGGGGGGGGATAAATAACTGGGTGCATGAAGCAAGTTACTTACCCTATTCCTAACCACACAATCTTTTTTTTAAAAAAAAATAAAATCAAAGGAAACCCAACCACAACAACAGCAGCAGCCAATCAAGTTCTCCACCCTTCAAGAGCCACCAAGAATCACACTCTTCTGTGGGATGGCTCCTTTGGCTCAGCACCCCACATGGGACTTTGTGGGAGACAAAAGTTTTGTTTTTTTTTAAACAGTTCTCAGGAAGTGGGGGAAGGGAGGCAGGAGGAAAACCCCTTCCCAGGATTAAATGCCTCTCCTACTCTTGCTCTTTCAACTACAGGATCCACCCCCACCCCCCTTCTCCTCCCGAAAAGCTACAAGCGAAGGGGCAGACTAAAAAGGGGAGCGGGAGGCAAATCCTAAATCACAAGGAGAGGGAAAAGGAGGCTGCTGCTGCTGCTGCTCCTCCAGCTCGAGGCCCTTCCTCTCCTCATTCTGGGGTTGCGCTGAAGCCTTGCCAGCTTCCCCCCTCCCACCTTTTGTCCCCAGCCCCCCCCCCCACTCTTCTCTCTCTGCCCTTTTCTTCGGTCCGGGGAGGGGGGGGGTTGAGATGTGGAGGCCTGGGTGCACCAATCTCCCCCCACCCCCAAGTCCCCCAGCCCCTCTTCCCAACCCTCGCGCTCCAGTTCCAGTGGGGCCTGCACGCGCTGCCGGCGTCCTCGCGCCCATTCATTAGCCGGCAAGAGCAGCAGCGGCTCTCGCTGCTGGCCGCCCATTCCCGCCAGCCTCGTACCTGTTGTCTGCAAGGCTCCCGGCTGAGTGCAAAGCGTCGCACCTGAGGAACCCGGGCTCAGGGTATATCAGCTGAGGAAGGCTTGCTTGCCTCCGTCGGTTCCCGGGCTCTGCTCCGTTAAGGCAGCTGGGCTCGCAGGAAGGCTGCCACGCTCGGCTCAATGCCTGCCGCACAAGCAGGAAACCCCAGTGGCAGCCCGAGAGGGGGCTGGTGCGGGATGCATTAGCGACGTCTGCTTAAAGGCCATAACAGGCTCTGCGGGGAGCACCGGAGAGGAACTGCCGCCGCGTTAACCCTTGCCGAGCCGGTTCCCAGTTTAGCTCAAATTGAAGCGATCGCCCGACCGCCTGTTAGCTCCCTTCCTCGGCTCTCCTCGGATCCGATCCGCCCCTTTCCTCCCTCTTCCGAATCCCCACCCACTCGGGCCAAGGTTGTTGTAGCGTTCGCACGATGGGGTTTGATTTATCTTGAGGGGATGGCCGGGGCTGCGGTTCAGAAATCATGCCCTCGCTGGTCGGTTCTCTGTGGATCTGCTGGGCTGAGAGATTAAAAAGTGTCGTAACCAGCAATCCCAAAAGCAAAGCCGCGACGCCACGATTTCTTAGCCGCCTCGGGAGGAAAAAAAAAAAAAGCCATCACACACAGTAGGGCCTACTTCCGAGTAAACGAGCGTCAGAGGAGTCGGGATGATTAGGGTGGCCTTTACTAGCGGCTCATAAAGGCACCTAGGATCGCACACTTCATTAAAGCGCCTGCAGGTCTCCAGCCGTACCGAAAAAGTAAAATCGGGTTACTGTATTTAAATAGTCCTGCTCCAAAGGGCTCACTGCTTTCTTGGGGATAGTGAGATAAACTTACAGATGTATTTGCACATGAGACGTGAGAATATGCAAAAGACCAAGGTCACGTAGGTGACTTTGAACCTTGGCTGATTTTTAAAAATAAAATAAACTGCCTGAAGAGGAGACCACTAGGAAATCCCAGAGCCATAAACTACAATGGGATGTGGGAAAAAACATTGCCTAAAAGAAGGCAACATTGTATTGCTGCCAAGGAAAGAAGATGAACATGCCAATGCAGTCACCAGAAGTTGCTCAAAGGGGTTTCTCTCTAGATCAGTAATTCTCAGCCATGGCAACCTTTAAGATGCATGGACTTCAACTCCCAGAATTCAGTGAGTTGAAGCCCACTCATCTTCAAATTATCAATTTTGAGAAACATTCCTCTAAATTATTCCAGTTTGTTGGTCCCATAAATCAATTGAACACATAGCCACATAAGAGTAAAAGTATTTGTATGTACATGTTTGTAATATACAGTGGGTCCTATCTGTGTTATTAGAATTGCATTAGTTATACTTTCCTTTTGAATCTCTTTTTAACTTCTAACTTTCTCTCAGCAGAATTGACTTTAATGCTACAAGGGGACAAGGAGACACCATTTTGTGTATCTCAGGAGTATCTATCTGTATCTCAGTCTTACTTGAGGTTGTGATTAAGGAGCTACTTTTCTTTCTCTTCGCAAGGGACAGATTAATTGTAAACAAATTTATCAAGGAGGTTGGAAAAATCAAACTGGGACAAGGCCTCCCCACAGTTTTAACAGTGGTGGTCTGGAAATCATTCAGTCATCCACAATCAGTGAAGAAACAGTCAATGAGCTGTTTGGGGGGAAATGGAATTAATGGGTTTAATCATAAGTAACTGTCTGCTCTCACACAAGCAATTTGCAATCCAGGTTTGCTGTTGCTGAACACATTTTATTCTGAGGCTTATAAAATAAATTGGATGGAATTTTGCTTCCAAGTAAGCATATTCAGGACTATAACCTCACAGCTTATCTAAATGCATTGATTCAAAATATCTGTCACACATTTGCTCTTCATGTGAAAGTGACATTTATAGTGATATACATGGCAGTTTGTATCTGTTCTTTGACCAGATTTGATTAGTGTCAACAGAACAGCATGCTCTGGAATATGCACTGAGCAAATGGGCTTTACCTCTAGAAGAATTTGGAATTTGGCTGAAACTCTGGTCACTCAAAATTTAACCATACAATCTAGCAACATTGAGCGGCTTTATAATTAAGAAGTAACTCCACTTGATAATAAAGGTAATCTTTCCCCTAAAGTAGAATTTGATGATAACAAGCTAGAAGATACTGTAAGCAGATAAGAAGGAACTTGGCTAGAGGCTTCTGCATAGATTGTTTTCTGTTTATTTAATGTAGAAAATTTGGGTTTGCTTAGCTTTAGTTTCCTGACAATGCCCCCCCCCCTCCCCCCCCCCCCCCCTTTGTGAGTCTAAGAGTAACAGGACAGTTCAAGAAGGGTAGCAGTGACTGAGGTTTAATGCTGCTGTTTGTCACAATATTTTTTACTCACTTGCTAAATAGGGAAGCCTCCACAAGATTAACTTTTTGGCATGGTGATTTATCCCCTGAATGCTTCACTAGTCTGTGAGTCACTGCCTCCTGAACAAATCCACATTTTAAAATTTTCCAAGGTAGAATGAGACATTTTTAGATCTCCCCTAAAGTCATCCCAATGTGAAAGTGTGAATGCCAAATGGGTTTCAAGTGAACGATGCTGGGAGTCAGCTGAAAAACATTCTTTGCTAGTTTGAGTTCCTTTGATGTCCATTGGATAGGAAAGTGTCCGCCCTTCTTTGAGTATGGACTGAGCTACTTTTCAACAATATATGTAGCCAATGACAATACACAGTGGCTTGGTTTACATATAACACAAATCCACAACGTAGCTTTTAGCTCAGCCCCAACCATTATATGTTAATAGAACATCCAGATTCAGTCAAGTTCTGTTCCATACAGTATCAACTCTCAAACTTCCTCTTTCCGCTATGTATTTAGGATGGGCAGTGATTAATATTTATTTGTAGTTATATTTTTAGGGTTTAGGTATATACATACAAAGGTAATATGTATATAGCATGTCTATATGGGTGTTATGTGTACACTTTTGAGAGCAGGCACAATTTAATTTTTAATATGTCAGTGTGTGCTCAAAGTAAAACAACATGACAATAAAGATTATAGTATTTTAATCAAATCATTATGGTTTGTTTGACAATTCTTTAGAAATCCTGGCTTAGTGCAATGTATGAACCTAGTCATATATAAAAGTCTGTTTTTCCCAACCTGTTTTTCTTCCAATAACCCTTGTCATCCCCAGGAAGTATAGTGCATGAAGTAAGTCATCCTTATCTAGAATATGTCAGTATTTATTTATTTATTTATTTATTTATTTATTTATTTATTTATTTATTAAATTTATATACCGCCCTATTCCTAAGGGACTCAGGGCGGTGAACAGCGAACGATAAAAATACATGTAATACAAACGTTAATAAAAAATCAATTAAAATATACTAAACACTCTGGTCCTAGATAATTCAAGACATCCCAGTTTAAAATAAAATCAAAAAGCAATATAAAGGGAAAGTTAGGCCAGGCCGGCCTGCTGAAACAGGAATGTTTTGAGGGCATGGCGGAAAGTGCGCAGATCCGGAATCTTCTGTATCTCTGGGGGGAGCTCGTTCCAGATGGTGGGTGCCCCCACAGAAAAGGCTCTCCCCCTGGGGGCCGCCAGTCGACACTGTTTGGCTGACGGCACCCTGAGAAGCCCCTCTCTATGGGAGCATACTGGGCGGTGAGAGGCTATTGGTGGCAGAAGGCGGTCTCGTAAGTACCCCGGTCCTAAGCCATGGAGCGCTCTAAAGGTGGTAACTAAGACCTTGAAGCGCACCCGGAAGACCACAGGGAGCCAGTGCAGCTCACGCAGGAGGGGAGCCACATGGGAGCACCATGCTGCTCCCATAACTACCCACGCGGCCGCATTCTGGACCAGCTGGAGCCTCCGGGTGCTCCTCAAGGGGAGCCCCATGTAGAGAGCATTACAGTAGTCCAGGCGTGAAGTGACGAGGGCATGAGTGACCGTATTTAACGGGTCCCAATCCAGAAAGGGACGCAACTGGCGAATCAGGCGAACCTGATAAAAAGACCTCCCGGCCACAGCCGTCAAGTGTTCTTCTAAAGACAGCCGTGAGTCCAAGAGGACGCCTAAGTTGCGAACCCTCTCCGTGGGGGGCAATGACTCATCCCCAATAGTCAGTGATGGCACCAATTGACTATATCGGGACGTTGGAAACCACAGCCACTCGGTCTTGGATGGGTTGAGCCTGAGTCTGTTCCTCCCCATCCAGATCCGTACAGCCTCCAGGCACTGGGACATCACTTTAAGGGCATCATTAGGGTGGTCCGGGGTGGAGATGTATAGCTGAGTATCATCAGCATACTGATGATATTTCACCCCAAAACCACGGATGATCTCACCCAGCGGCTTCACATAAATGTTGAACAGAAGGGGTGAGAGAACCGACCCCTGTGGCACCCCACATACAAGGGGCCTCGGGGTCAACCTCTGCCCCCCCCCCGTCAACACAGACTGCGACTGATCAGAGAGAAGGAGGAGAACCACCGCAACACGGTGCCCCCCACCCCTAACTCTTCCAACCGGTGCAGCATGATACCATGGTCGATGGTATCAAAAGCTGCTGAGAGGTCTAATAGGACCAGGACAGAGGAACAACCCCTGTCCCGGGCCCTCCAGAGATCATCTATCAATGCGACCAATGCCGTTTCCGTGCTGTATTCAGGCCTGAAGCCCGACTGGAACGGATCTAGATAAGCCGATTCATCCAAGTACTGAGGAAGCTGTCGCGCTACCACACTCTCAACAACCTTCACAACGAAGTGAAGGTTGGAGACTGGACGGTAATTAGCCAACACTGCTGGGTCCAGGGAAGGCTTCTTGAGGAGAGGCCTCACCACCGCCTCCTTCAAGGCGGCAGGGAAGACACCCTCTCTCACAGAAGCATTTATAATCCCCTGGAGCCAACCTCGTGTAACCTCCCGAGAGGCCAGCACCAGCCAGGAGGGACACGGGTCCAATAAACATGTGGCCGTGCTCAGTCTGCCCAGTATCTTGTCCACGTTTTCCGGAGTCACAGAATCAAATTCTTCCCAGGTAATATTCTCAAGACTTGCTTCCATCCTCCCTCCCGAATCTACCCAGTCAGAGTCCAAATTTTCCCGAATCTGAGCGATTTTGTCATACAGATATTGTACAAAGTCCTCGGCTCTACCCTCCAAGGGGTCCTCCCGCACTTCCTGGTGGAGCAGGGAGCGGGTCACCCTAAACAGGGCGGCTGGGCAATTATCTGATGATGCAATAAGAGCAGAAAAATAGTTACACTTTGCCGCTTTTATTGCCACCAGGTAGGTCTTAATATGAGACCTTACCAGTGTTTGGTCAGATTCAGAATGGCTGGCCCTCCAACTGCTCTCCATGCGTCTTTTCCAGCGTTTTATCTCCCTCAGCTCCTCGGTGAACCAGGGAGCCAGGTGAGATCGACGCCGGGTCAGAGGCCGCAAAGGCACGACCCGGTCCAAAGCTCCAGCAGCCGCCCTATCCCAGGCAGCCACTAGGTCTTCAGTCGAGCCGTGTGCCAGAGCCTCAGGAAATGGCCCAAGCTCCGTCTGGAACCTATCCGGGTCCATCAGGCGCCTGGGGCGGAACCACCTCATCGGTTCCGCCTCCCTGCGGCGGGGTGTGGCGGTTCGAAGGTCAAAGTTCACCGCCCTGAGTCCTTCGGGAGT